GGCTGGAGTACATCCGTGGTGATGCTGTTGCATTACTTCGGGAGGGACCCCAAAGCTGTTGGGCTCCGCCGCCAAGTTGCAGAATGGATTAAGCGTTGGAAGCGGTGGCCAGATTACCATGACAAACTACGAGGAGGTTGGCATGCAGCCGTACAGCGACTCCAGCGGGCACGACCTAGAGGACGTTGGAACGTTGTGACAGGGCCGATGGCGGCCCTTATCCAAGGACTTTCTGAACTAGGATGGCAGCTACCTGAGCCAGACACGTGGGCGGATGCGCAGGAAAATGAATGGACGATGGCCCAGCAACCGCACCAGCACAATATGTATGCAAGCCGTGAGCTGCCACCTTCAGACGGTAGCCAGGACGGTCAAGGTAGCAGAGTCCACCGACTTCCAGAGGGCCAACCACAGCAGGCTGCGACCAACATGGACGGCGACCACGACCCCTTCCAAGACGTGGAGGACAACACAGATGGACAGCAGTTTCTGGCTGGAATGGGTTCTTACACAAATAAGCAAAGAGGAGCTGGAACCAAAGTTGAAAACTATGTGCCAAGTCAGGTCCCAGCTCCAAAGGAAGACAATGACCGTCGGAAAGTGCCGCCATCTCAGCAGTCAGACTGCATACTCGGAGATGAAGACACCACCCAACTCATGGCGATCATCACGGCGGACGGCATCAAGGAGCTGTGGCAGCAGGCGGCCAGAGATCGCCACGGAGGAGGCTGGAGTTCTACGCCAGACCTCACGACAGCAAGCAGAACCCTACAGAGAATGAGACGTTCAGAGTCACATCGTGAATCTGGTGCGCTAGAAGCATTTATTTGCAATACCGTTTGGACCGAAGATCGTTGCCGTGCTGAAGGCTATGAGTGTGATGGAGTATGTACCAGGTGCGCGACAGGCCAGAAAGAGACGATGGCCCACCGCGTCTGGGGCTGCCCTCACACATGCGGTCAGGACCACCCGTGGATCCGTCAGAGCGCCAAGCTATGTGATGAAGCAGTCCGAGACATTACTAACGGGACCAACCTGGAGCTGTGGCTAAGAGGGCTACTACCATCCACGTGGAATTCCGTACCGCCTCCGCCTTCGTGGGGCACGCCTTGCCTGCTGTACTACATCGATTGGGACGGGCCGGCCGTCGCGTTCGAGGGCGCGGTGAACTTCGAGGACCGCATCGAGTGCAAGCTGGCCTTCCTGGGCGGCTCGGCTTCGAGCAGCGACGCGCGCCTCCATTTTGGTTCTACACGGACAGCCAGATCGTTTACGACGGATGGCACGGTTCCTCGGACACCTCGGGAGAACTCAGAGGTTGGTGGAAGAGGGTCTTCTCCGAAGCTCAAGGTCGACGAGTGATGCTCAGTAAGTGCAATTCGCACCTAGATAGAGTTTCGCTAGCCTCCCTGGTCCAGACCCCCTGTGTCTCCCGAGGCAATGACCTTGCCGACAAATTCGCCCAACTAGGAGTTGAGCAGGTTTCAGCTGAAATTGACCCAGAGGTCAGAGATATAGCCCGTGCTGAATTTAAAGTGTGGTTGGTCCAGAGGGGGCTGGCTATGGTCAACGCGGCGTCCGCTTGTGCCGACTACGAGCGTAAGAGCCGCCCGCGTAAGGACTGCCGTGTGCCGCCCGCTGCCTGGCGCGTAAGGAAGGCTCTTGTAGCGTCTTCGGGGCACCAGGTCCCCAAGGTCGGCCCCTCCTGGGTGTGTTGCCACTGCCAGAGTGGCCCTGGGGAGTTTTCTATGTTGGACTGGCTTCGCAGTGGCGCATGTCCAGGACCCCAGTACCATAGAGTAGAGTCTCAAGGTTTACCTGTGCGCCTCCCCCCTCGGTGCAGTATCGGGGACAAGGCGGTGCGTGAGTCGCACAATGCAGCAATATTGTATGGCCAGATTTTTTGTTGGAGGTGTGGGCGCCTAGGCTCGAAGACCCCCACGGGTGGTAGACTGGGGGCGGGCCTCGTCGGCATGTGTAAAGGGCACCCCACCCCTGCAGGCCAAGAGGCCTTGAATAAAATTCGGCGTTGGGAGGTCCCCTCATCGAGGGGTGATGCCGTGTGGCCCGATGGCACCCCCAATGCCCCCAGGCGCCCAAAGCGTGAAGTGCGCCGCAAGGGTTAAGGTAACCCCAGATGCGCCAGCGGCATATCGGCGGGATTTGCTGTCTGGTTAGTAATCGTCCTGTAATCGTCCTTATGCATCTGCTGATCACCCCCATCACCCTCGGCCCCCGCCCCCTTGTTATCATTATTGTCATGTCGCCGCACTGGCCCCCCTTGCAAGTGCCCCTCCTCATCTAGGGAAGGAAGCGCGTGAAGTTATCATCTGGGGCTGAGCGGCGGAGAAAAGGAGGAGAACGAGTGGGGAGGGACAAGAGACACTACGCAGGCAGAGCAAGTGAGACTAGGAAGAAGAGTCGGCTGAATAGTAAGAGGGGGAACCAGGCAGAAGAGTAGGTGGAGGAGGGAGGAGGAGAGATGAGGACGAGAGATGAGGCGGAGAGACGCGAGGACGAGGGACCAGGAGAAGGAAGAGGAGCAAGATAACTGAGACAAGAAACTATCCACGGTTAGTGTCGAAACGTGGCCACACGAACGTAGATCAAACACACGAGCCCCTTCGCCGAATGGTAATGACGCCACCAGCGAATAAGCTCCCCCCCATCCTCCTCCTCCGCATAATCCTCCACATCCTTCTCCGCATCCTCCTCCGTCTCCTCCTCCTTCCTCCTTATCTTCATCATCCACATCATCATCATCCCCCTCCGCATCATCCACCTCATCATTCTCATGTTGCTCATCATCATCATCGTCAGCATCATTATTGCCATTCTCCGCATCATCATCATCATCATCATCATCAGCATCATCATCATTATCACCACCACCATCATCATCACCATCATCATCATCATCATCATCGTCATCGTCATCATCATCATCATCATCCCCCTCCTCCTCGTCATCACCATCATCATCATCATCCTCATCCTCATCCGCATCCTCAACATTATCCGCCCCCTCCGCCTTATCATCATCCCCGCCCTCCTCCTCCTCCTCATCATCATCTTCATCATCAACATCATCATCCTCCTCCGCATCCTGATCCTCAGAATCATGCGGATGAGGATGAGGAGAAATGCGATGGGGATGATGATGAGGATGACGGGCCCTGGGGGGGGTGCTGGGGTGGGGCTGAGCACATATATATATGAACACATATATATATATATATATATATTTATATATGCATGTATATATACATATATGTATATATATATATATTCATAAATATACATATATATATATATATATTATTTATTTATATATATATATATATGAATATATATATATGTGTATATATGTATATATATATATCCCATCTAGGGGGGCACATCGGCCCGAGGGGTGGGGGGCCTAGGCCACGCCGCTGGGTATCGGGATCGGCGAAGCGCTGCCCAGTGGCGATACATCCTGGCTCTTCCTGCCGCTCCTCCTGCGTTCCTCCCCCTCTGCATCCTCTCCCTGCCCCTGCTTTTGCTGCCGCCCCTGCTGCCCGGAGGAGCGGGAGAAGCAGGAGGAGCAGGAGGAGGAGGAGGAGGAGGAGGAGGAGGAGGAGGAGGAGGAGGAGCTGGAGCTGGAGGAGGAGGAGGAGGAGGAGGAGGAGGAGGAGGAGGAACTGGAGCTGGAGGAGGAGGAGGAGGAGGGACCAGGGGGATAAGGAGGACCTTCTCCCCTTCCCCTCCTCCCCCCCTGCCCCTGCTGCTCCGTGCGCGTCGCCCCCCCTGCTGCTGCCCCATCCCCCTCCTCCGTGGTCGTGGTCTCTCCGCCTCTGGCCCTCCTCCTCCGTTCTCGCGTCCCCCCTGCTCCTGCTCGTTTCTGCACGAACGAGATTGGCACGGAAAGAATGGGTACAATGCCCAACAGCAGTCCCTGTTCATTTTGAAGAGGACTCGCTGTCCGCGCCGCCGCGGCCTGTGTCCATTTGAGACAGAAGGCAGCCTGCCCAACAGCGGCCGCTGTTGGTTTGGGACAGCATTTGTTGTTGGGCATTGTACCCATGTTTTCCGTGCCCATTTCGGGCGTCCAAATCGTTCGGTACAGTGGAGCACCATGCCAAGAAACACCCTGCTTGCCTCGAGGGCTTCTTGGGCTTCGATGTTTCGTGTCGATGGAAGGCACGACATTCCCGCACCACTGCGGACCAGCCTCCACTGCAGCAGAATTCATGGGGGCCTGGTCGACCCTCATAATTCCGCATTCAGCGTTGATTCGCGTCGATTGGCGTCTGGGATTCGTTAAGATAGCGCCGATGTTGCGTCGGTTCGCGTCGATTTGCAGCGATTTTGCATCGTTGAGCGTCGATTCGCCAGAGCCGACAAGATGGTATGGGAGGCTCCCATGAGTTGCCGCCGAACCCTCGCCCTGCTCTCGTCCCCCTCCTGCCCCCCCGTGGTCACTGTCCTCGCTGCTCATTCCGTCCTCCTGTTCTTCATCCTTTCCTCCTCCTTCTCCTTCTCCTTCTCCTCCTCCGTTCTCCTTCTCCCCATATTCGGAGGCCTCCACAGGCTCGACCATTCTCCTTCTCCTCCTCCGTTCTCCTTCTCCCCCTCCATTCTCATTGACACACACACACACAACACATAGCACACAACATAGCACACAACACACAACACACGACACACGAGCACACTCCGGCTGCGCGCCCCTGCTGCCGCCCGCCGCGCCGGCGCTTCGCCCCCCCGCCCCCCGCCCCCCGACCCCGACGTCCTGATAGTTTCCCATCACGTCGACCGCCCGAGATGCAGCGTCGACGACTCAGCATCGACGCTTCCCATGACGTCGACGATTTGGCGTCGATGAGCGTCGATTCGACGCCGATGAGCGTCGGCTCGCAAGAGCCGGCAAGATGGTATGGGAGGCCCCCATGTAAAAAGAGGAGGAGGAGGAGGAGGAGGATCGAAGAGGAGGATCGAGGAGGAGGATCGAGGAGGAGGATCGAGGAGGAGGATCGAGGAGGAGGATTCGTTCGCTCAGTTGTTGTATAGCGCGTGTGGCTTCTCTTTGGAGCATCTGCGGCTCTCCGCCCCGAGGCGCCTCTGGGTCGGGCGGCCCCGAGGCCGGGCGAGGGCCCGCGGAGGCCCAGGATGGATCGAGCGGCCGCCGTCGTGTCCGCCTCCGCCCGCCAGGGTCGGGAGCCTCGAGGCGGGGGTCGACGCAGACTGGGGTCAGCCAGAGCGCCGGATCCTGCAGGATCCTGCGAGGACCCCCTCTGGCCGACCCGGGTCCGCGAGCCGCTCGTGGCCGCGGGGCGGCCGCGCCTGCTGGCTGACCCGGGTTTGCGAGGACCTGCGTTGCATGTTTTTTTTTGTTCCTGCACTGCAGTTGTTAGTTTCCTGCTGACCCGGGTCTGGATTGACCCGGGTTCAGAAGGTCGCCGACAGGGGCCGGGACAGGCCCTGAGATCCGACGCTGCACCAACAAAACTCAGGCAGTGGCGGAAGCGTCCTGGCTCGCCTGCTAGGTCCACCAGAGGATGTTCTGAGAACCTTTTGTGGCTTGCGCGAAGTGTTCTCAGAACATTCCTGGCTTAGGCTGTCCTGTTATAACACATCGGGTGAATGTTCTAAGAGGATTGATTTTGCTCCTAGAACATGTTCGGGTTCTAAGAACATTTCCTGCTAGGCCTATAGGAATGCCGGGACGGTCGGTCCCAGCTAAAACAATGCAGCATCGCGCAACAAATCACGCCAGAGGAGGAGGAAGAGGAGGAGGAGGAGGAGGAGGAGGAGGAGGAGGAGGGGGAGGGGGAGGTGGTGGAGGAGGAGGAGGAGGAGGAGGAGGAGGAGGAGGAGAGGAGGAGTGAGGAGTAGGCGAAGGAAGGGTTTGGACGGAAGGAGTAGGAGGAGGGGGAAGGAAGGAGGAGGGGGATAGGAGGAGGAGGAGGAGGAGGTGGAGGAGGAGGAGGAGGAGGAGGAGGAGGAGGCGGAGGAGGGGGAGGAGGAGTGGAGGAGGGAGGGGGAGTAGATCGGAGGAGGGGGCGAAGGAGAACGATTTTGAGGAGGGAGGAGAAGGAGGAGGGAGGAGGGAGGAGGAGGAGGAAGGAAGGGGGGGAGTGAGGAGGAGGAGGAGGAGGAGGAGGAGGAGGAGGAGGAGGAGGAGGAGGAGGAGGAGGAGGAGGAGGAGGAGGAGGAGGAGGAACTGCGCCCTGCCGCGCGGGGCCTGCGAGGTCCGTTGGGCCCGGCCGAGGCTGCCTGCCGCCTCTGCGGCAGGGCTCCTCGGCGCGCCCTCGGCGGGGCGCGGACGCGGCCGCGCCTCGCTGTGGGGCGCGGCGGCCGCGCCTCGGCGGAGCGGCGCCTCAATTGGCGCGCCCGCTGCGGCCGCGGCCAGCCGCGGCCTCCCGGCGGGAGGGCTTCCCGCCGCGCGCCGCGGCCCATGGCGTTGAGTAGTTAAAAATAGTCGGGGGGCGATGTTTTGACTATTTTTGATCATTTTGGGGTATGTTTTGGGGGTATTTTTTTCGTCCAAAATCTGCCTGTAGGGGGACATGCCCGACCTAAGCCTCGGCTTTCCCTGAGGTCCCGGCGCTGCAGTTTTTGTCACGGCGGGGGGGGGGTCGCTCGGCTCCGAGCCCCCGCGTTCCGCAGGGGTGCAGCCCGAGGAAACCGTGGAGGCTTTGGTGGAGCCCGCGCCCTGCAGCGGCTGCCTGCGCGGGGCACTCGTGCCGTCCTCGAGAGGGCGTCGCGGCCGCGCTTCTTTTGCAGGCCTGCGCCCGCCGGGTCCAGCCCCGGGTCTGGCCCCCCGGAGTTGCTTTCCCCAGATGGAGTTTTGCTCCTACTCCTCCTCCTACTCCTCCTCCTCCTCCTCGATCCTCCTCGATCCTCCTCGATCCTCCTCCTCCGTCTCCACCTCCTCCTCCTCCTCCTCCCAAGGGTCCTTTTGTCCATCCCCGGAAATCAAGTTCCCCCCGCCCTCCCTCCCTCCCTCCGTGTCTCCCTCCTCCGCGCCAGTGGGGCCCCTGCAGGCCCGTCGGCTGTCCCCGGGGAGCTCGTCGGCGCAGGGGCGAGGAGGAGGAGAGGCGCAGGAGGAGGGCGGAGGAGTGAGAAGCCAGCAGCGCAGGAGGAGGGCCAGGAGGAGGGCCAGGAGGAGGGAGGGAGGGAGGGAGGGAGGGAGGGAGGGAGGGCATGAAGAAGCTGTAGGGCTGTAGGGTGAAGAGCAGAGGGAGGAGGGAGAGGAGGGGGAATGGGGAGGGGAGGTGAGAGGAGGACGAGGGGAAGAAGGAACTTCGAGAGACACGCACATGGTTGTTACCACTGGAGAAAGAAAAGGAGGAGGAGGACGATGACGCGGAGCAGGAGGATTGAGAGGTGGACGGCGGCAACGACCACAACCGTGCCCACGGCGACGACCTCGACCACCCAGACCAGAGCGACGCCGACGACGACGACGTTGACGACACCAGCGGCGGCGAAGCCGACGACGCCGACGACGACGACGCCGCCGACGACGACGACGACGACGGTGGCGGCGGCGGCGACGACGACGACGAGAGCGACGCCGACGACGACGACGGCGATGACGACAACGTCGACACCGTAACAGCGACGCCGACACCGCTGGCGACGGCGGCACCAGCGACGACGACGACGCCAGCGGCAGCGGCGACGACCACGACCACGACCACGACCACGCCCACGCCCATGACCACTCTCAGGAGTGGACAAAAAACACAGCCAATGAATCGTCGACCCCCAGGAAGTCATGGGAAAACATGTGGGAAGTGGGGGGGGGAACGGACGAACACCCAGAAGATATTGGAAGACCTGGGGCATCCTGGGACTCGTGTCTCTTGACCTGTGTGCCCGCACCAGGGCCCCTCGCAACTTCCCACGACCTCGACGACCGCGGCGACGGCGACGCCGAGGCCGCTGGCGGCGGCGGCGGCGGCGCCCGAGGGCGGGGCGGCGGCCCTGCAGCGCTGGCTGCCCGGCGCGCGGCTGGAACCGCAGGAGGCCGAGCGGGAGGCGCGCGGGGCGCGCGCCGCCCTTCCCCGGCTGGGTCTCGGTATCGTTCCCAGACGTGCTCGCGTCGTAAAAGAGAATCAGGACGGGGGGTTTTTCACTAGTTTCGACCCTCGGCGGCCCTCGCCGGTCCCCTGAGACCGTCCAAAAACGACTCAGGATGAAAGACCGGTCCCGGGGACGGGGTCGGGACTTCCAGGGGGCGCCGTCGTGGGAAACTCAGGACGTCGCATGTCTGGGCGTATAACCGATCCCCATCCCCATCTCCATCCCCTTCGAGGCCCCCGCCAAAGTACCACCCCAGTGGGGGGTGCACCCCTCGTCGGAGCCCGAAGAGCACGACCCAGACCCCCCCTACCCGGGGGGGTGGGGGATCGGCCAGCGGAGGGGGATCGGTGCAGCGATGCTCAGGGCCGGGGCCGCTCGGCCGGGGGGAGCCGTGCTCCCGATAGCACCCGGAGTGGAGCAGGGGCCGACCGTCCCGGCATTCCCACACGCCGACCACGAGATTGTCGGGGGTCCCCAGACGGGGTGGTGACCACGCCGTGCGGTGACTCGGTGGGGATTCGGGGTCACCGCACGGCTTTGGGACTCGGGCCGTTCTCCGAGGACGTCTCGGGCGACAGGGGCCTCCGGGTTCCCAAGACCGTGCGGTGACGGACCGTGCGGTGAGGTCTCGTGGGATTTCGAGGTCACCGCACGGTCTGTCACCGCACCGTTTCGGGACTCCAAAGACATGTTTTTAGAGCCCCATAATGTGTTCTTAAGAAGAGAAGCGGTGTTCTCAGAACGTATAAGTCCGACCTGCTGAACCAAGACAGCCCCAGCCAGACATGTTCTAAAAACATGTTGGGCAGGCCACAAAATGGTTCTTTTAGAACATCCTTTGATGGGCCTGTTCAGGCGATCGCAAACATGAATGAAGAGGGCATGAGTTAGCGACGGGGCCCGTTCCCATGGGAGTCGCGGATTTCCGCCGCCGAGCGAGGCGGCGCTGGCCGCATTTGGGGGAGGGCACCTCCCCCGATCCATGGAGTTGGCGACTGCGCGCCAAGGCCATGGATCGCTGATCCATGTTTGCGCGCCCCCGATCTGTGGCGCGGGCCTCGGACCCGGGCCCCTCGAGCCATGGAGAGGAGGCGCGGAGGGAGGATCCTCTCGCTACGTTCGGCCTCTGTGGGCTCTCGCCGGGCCTCGGGGCCGTGAGAAGACGACTCAAGATGAAAAGCCGGTCCCGGGGAATGGTTCGACACTCCTGGGGGTCGTCGTGAGAAACAACTCGTGGCGTCGGGGTCTGGGAAGAGGGGGGGGGGATGACCGACCTGAGGGGGGGGTCCTTGGCGTGGGGAGCCGTGATCCCGAGCACCCAGAGGTGCCTGTGGGGGAGGGCAGGGATCGTTTCCGAGCGCCCTTCGGGGGAGGGGGGGGGATGAACTGGGGGGCTCCTCGGCCGGTGCTCCCGAGCAACCTGAGGGGTCTGTGGGGCAGGCCTCGGGGGGAGGTGGGTCGCTTCAGAGCGCCCGTCGGGGGCGGCCGAGTTAGGTGCTCGTTCTGGGGACCTTCCTGGGGCCCACCTAACGGAGCTGGTCGGCACTAGTTCGATTCAAGTTCGACGCAAGTTCGACTCAGGTTCGGCTCAGGTTCGGCTCAGGTTCGGCTCAGGTTCGACTCAGGGTCGACTCAAATCGACGGACGTTCGACGCATCTTCGACGCACGAGTGGAGCGAATGTCTCCAGGAAGGTTCCAAGAATTGGCATCCAAGCCAAGAGGGCGGTGATGATTTGGGGGGGGTATCGCGGCCGGGGGCAGGTGTCTCCCCGGATTTCATGCCCTCCTCCTCTTCTCGCAATGCGTCCCGTGCCCCTCCCCCCCCCTGGGCAGCGCACGTGCTTCGGGCCATGATTTGCGAACCCCTCGCTTGGACGCCCCCCGTTGGATGCAGGTAAAGTGCTTCAGAGTGGCCTGGAACGCTTTCAGAACGTTCTGGAACGCTCTGCAACATCAGAAGGCCCGCCAGCTCTCAGAGATCCCGGAGTCATGTCGGTCCTGAATCGTCTTCATCTTGCCAATGTCTGACTAATCTCGACGAGCAACACATAGTACACATGTTAGCCAGTGAGGACCCCAAACAGTGATGCCTTGCAACGTATGCGGTGCAATCTAGGTGGGGCAATCACTGTGGTGCAATCTAGATGGTGCAATACATGTGGTGTAATCTGTGTTGGGCACAGCACTGCAAATCAATGCAACGCAATGCAAAGCACTAGGGAGCAGTGCACAGCCATGCATAGCAGGGCGGAGCAAGACAGCACAAGG